CCAGTCGTATGTTCCCCTTACATTCTGTATCATCTTGTTCAAGCTCTATGTTAAACCTATTTCAGGTTTATGATGAAGGAAATCAATGTTTTTATATTGCTGCACCCCCCCTATGAAAAGGAATTCTATGTGTTCGGTTCCTATTGTTTAGACAATTAAACACAAATTGAGCCATCAAATGTAGTATCTCTGTAAACTTTGGATCTCAGAGCATAACAAACATTCTGTGTAAATGTTTGACTACACAGTGAGTTTGAATCAGTGTGTTTGGTGGACCTCAGGGACTGTCAGCCCCTACTGTGAGTATGGAAATGTTATTTATTTAAAAGAACACACCAACAATGTTCCGAAAGGTCCTTGGCATCACAGTTTTGGCTTGAAACATTACATTAATACCATAAAGCCAGTGTCACAAACTGTGGGCAGTGGAATATGAAAGATTTGAGGGTTAACCATGCAAAGGGTCCAATACAAAAGTTGCAGTATGGGACATTTGAACAGAGACTGGCTGAGACTATGACCACATCTTGACTTGATAGTGCTTTTATCTAATGTTCACCAGAAACCCCAAGTTGGGATTGTTTTAAAGGTCTCCTAAGAAACACACTCATATAAGAGAAGTTATTATTGAAGGAAGATGTTCAAAGAGTAAAGGTGAGGACGAGAGTCTCCTGTCACGTATAGATAATGTTAATCAGGACAGCAGAAAGCTTACACACCTTCCGGCGCAAACTGAAAACTCATCTCTTTCGACTCCACTTCGAGCGATAGAACTATTAACAAAGCACTTATATACTAATAAAGGACTGGCTTATCTAAAGCCAGTTGAGTAGCACTTGAAATGTTTAGCTCTATGAAACCTGATGTACTTTATGATTCTGTTTTCTTCAAGGTTGTGTCTTGTTGGTCGAACGCACTTATTGTAAGTCGCTTTGGATAAAAGCGTCAGCTAAATGCAATGTAATGTTATGTTACTTTTAATTTGCATTATAACATGAATTCACTCAATGTCAGTGATACATATTTTTTAATTGAAAAAGTAGTGAAGGATAAAAGACAATGTTATTACAAAAAGACAGTTCAAAACACACCTTACATTTACAGGATCATCATTTTATTTTCAACTTGCCTTCAGTTAGGCTTCAGCCATGTGCACACAGTGCATACAGTGTGGCATTTATTAGGCCCTGTATAAAACTGCAGGACTACTGATAAAAGTAGTTGATATAAAATTGTCATAAGACCACAGGACTCAGAATTATAGATAGTACAGTATCATATCATCACTGACAAAATCAAATCCTTTCCCTGAAAGCAGGTATCCAGGCAGCAGGGTTATCAACAGTTTACACTTCATAGATGAGTCCCAACCAGTTTAGCAATGAAACCTTCTTCTCCTTCATCTCTTGTAATGCTTCATGGATAAAGATTGGTGATAACATATTTTGTAGGCCAACCTGGAAGCTAGCATCACAAGGGCTCCCGTCGTCGATGTCGTTTAGTAGTCTCATTTAGTCGCTTGTTAGCCATTTTGATGACACATAAAAGCTTTAAACATTCACCAGAGGTGGTTTTACTGACACATTTCTTGTCGTAGATTAAAACTTCAGAACATCTCTCCAGCTTGTGTTAACCACAGACCTTATTTTAGGCATCTAACCATAAATGAGGGATCCAGAAGTTCTTAAATGCTAACTAATGTCCAGCATTTAAAACAAAATCTGCATGTTAGGTTAACGCTGGTTTAGGTACCGTATTTTCCGGACTATAAGTCGCGTTTTTTTACCTGTCTGGCTGGTCCTGCGTCTTATACTCCGAAGCAACTTATATATTGAATTTTGTCTGACTGCGTTCAAACTCCGGCCAATAGATGGCACTTTATACAATCATGACAACTGAAAACTGCTGTACCACCGAAGAAGAAAAAAGTCACGGCAACCGTGAGGATCATGGATGTATAATAAGAACTGGGAGGATGCGTCACGTAACTTTCCAGGATGTTGTGGGATGGATGGACACAGCATGGGCTTCAGTGACGACCGACACCATCCTGTCGGGATTCAGAAAGGTCTAATCGGAGCTGATTCTGATGGAGAGTCTGAGGACAGCCCGGAGCAGGACACGCTGCTTCATCCACACAGAGGATGAAGACTTCAGTGGATAAATGCGACTTATACACCGAAGCGACTTATATATGTTTTTTTTCTCTTAACGACACGTTGGTGCGACTTATAGTCTGGAAAATACGGTAATATTGGTTCAATTGACCTTTTAACATTGGAGGACATTATAGGAATTTGTGGTGCTGGTGGTGTGTCTGCCGTCAGTGTTCAGCAGCCTTTTCTGTAGTCCACATGGTCAGCACGTGAATGTGAAACATTTGCAGCGTCTGAGAGAAGGTTTGCCACAGTCTGACTTTAAGAACTCCATTGGTCTTGATCGGACTAAAGCTGAATAACCAAATGAGCAGCCTGAGTAGAGGACTGGCCCTGGGTCAGTGGCTGAGGGCAGAAAGGTATTCTACTGTAAACATGATGCCCGCCATGCAAAGCAGTGTTACCAGAGAGCTCACACAGCAGGATGCATCATGAGGTGTTGGAGGAGATTTAACCAGGCGTGTTTCAGGACCAGCAGGCAGTGTTTTCCACTTATTCTTACAATTTCACAACTATCTGACAGTAGTGAACCAACTGAGCGTGGATCAGTCTTTACATCCTAGCTGGTTTGAAAGACTCACAGCCTAAAGCCGCTGCAGCGACAGTTTGCATGATATTTGCAACTTAATTCCTAGCGTGTGTTCACTGTGGCTGGATTCTGTGTTAATGCATCATCACTTCTACTGAAAGCACTCTCACCCACAGACTAACAGAACAATCAAACAGGACTGCTTACAAAATATATACAATATATGCTATTGTTAGAGGAATGTTGAGCTTGAGATTTAAAACCTCTTGAATATAAGGCTGATGAAGTAAACAGGAGGGTAAGAATACAACAGAAAACAGATAAAATGTCACTAGTCCTCTTTCTAACATGGGTTGTTGATGATTGGTGGATTTAGTCGTCAATGCACCCAGTGGCGCCCCAAGACACTCTGGGGAACCCAAGCAGAAGGGACATGGCACCTCCGACAGCACCGCTGACCCCCCCCTCCCCTCATGTTGTCGTTGCTGTGGACCTTCTTAATCTACCTTCTTTGGAGGCCCCCTTCTGGTCCGGGGACCCAAGCAGTTGCCTGCCTTGCCTGTCGGCAAACGGCGCCCCTGAATGCACCAACGTGAGCCAATCAAACGCAGCTCACACCTTTAGACAGCCACCCAGCTCTGTTGGTTTAAAACTGTCCTCCCCCCGAAAGGAATACCAGCACCTTCAGTTACTAGGGGGTTATATTTACAAAATATATAAAGAAAAATATAGGGTTACTGGCCCTAGCATATAGTACAGTCCAACAGCTGTCTGTAAATATTTCTCCCATGATTATCATTTCTAAAAGTAAATCACAGGGTAAAGATAGCCGGAACGTGACAAGACGCAACGAGGACAACATGGCCCCCGAGCTGGGCTGCTGTCTGCAGACACACAGGACAACATGGCCCCCGATCTGGGCTGCTGTCTGCAGACACACAGGACAACAGGAGTCTGGGAAATGTGAAAGTAAAACATGAAAATGGGTGTTGGTTTAATAAAAGAGAGGATACTCCAAAGGGAATTGGAAACTGCTCGTACAGGAACTGCAGCCCAGTTTGTATCCTCAACAAAATGTATTTGTGAGCTTATTTTAACCTGAGTGTGTTGTTGTTCATCACCGCATAAGGAAATGACTGGAGGGGAAATACACTTAGTAAATGACACTGATGTATAGCTTGAGAAAAGATTTAGCTTTAAGACAATGAGATCACTGAAGGAATAGTTGGACATTTTGAGAAATATGCTTTTTGCTACTTCCTCACAGTGACAACAAAGCTTCAGAACCAGATTTGCTCTGACACTTATGGTGCTTTTCCACTGCAGGACCTAGCACGGCTAGGCCTTGGTAGGCCAGGCTCACTTTATGCTGCGTTTCCATTACAGTTTAGTTACTGTGGTAGTAACTATAGTAACGCAGTGTAGGCGGGGCGATCGGCTGTTCGGCGGGCAGAGCGACGCTGCATAAAACTGCCGTGATGTCATCTTCAATGCGAACCACAAAACCAAAACATCAGCCGTTAGCTGTTAGCCCTCAGAGCTCACATCTCCTCATATCTGTTCAGAAACTAGACCAAAGTTAAACAAGTACAAACCACAGACTGCCTGTGTCATGGAGAATACAGTCGCTGCTTTATTTATGTCTGTAGGCCGTTGTTGTGAGTGTGGACGGTCGGAGCATATACAACGTTAGCTTAGCCGATCCATCCGATCTCCTCACATGCATTTTTTTACTAACCGCTATCAGTATGTTGTTACTTCGGCATTATTTTGAAACGTGTATTACAATTAAATCACAGTAAAATATGTTCATTTTGATGTAGTTGTAGCCCTCTTGCAACGTATGTAACGTTTGCTGAACATGGCTAAGTCTATTGGAGTAAGTTTGGGTGTTATACTATGTTATAGCTTCAAAAGGTACATAATATAACTTTAAGTACATCAAAGATGACGAGGTAAACAACATTTTCTAGACCAATTTTGTCCAACAGGCCCAAAGTTCCCGGGCGTTTCTTCCAGACCTGTCCTACTCTACACAATGTCCAACGGCTACCTGACAATCTGAAACAGCTGGACATGAGAACAGTCCTCTTCCACAGAGCTACAGTTTCTCTGTCGCATTTCAACACTTTGACCTTGCATTTAAACTCCCAAATTCCCCACTTATATAATATCAGAGAGGATGCCGCTCTCTATCTGCAGTCTTCTAGGTCTGACTGAGATTGACAGCAGAAAAGTTCAGAGTTCACCCCCCTGGCAGAGCTATAAACAGCCCTCCCCCCCTCCCCCCATTTCTCTCTCTCAGGCAGTAAGATGATACTGTTTCAATTAGGCTCCAGTGCCACACAAAGGAGTTGGAGCATTTGGCAATCAGTGTCACTTCGAACACCGAAGACAGTCCCGCCTCATTGACTTTTTAAGCTAAGACTCAAAACGGGCATGTTGTGTAAAAATCATTAAAAAAACCATAGTTAGACCATAAACCTCTGCTGTGCACTGCATAATATCCCATCAGTGCAAAGACAACCAACATCCAAAGACAGGATTTCATTCAGTAGCAGCAAATATGTGATAAATTAGAAAAAGAAAGCATAAATAATGTGTTGAGAATCTTTCATCTTACTCACCGGTGACAAGATACCCTACCCTAACAAAAATACAAAACTGGTTAAACATAAATAAAAAAATGAATATATACAAAGCAAAAGATCAAATATGATACACTTGCATAAAGCTTGGAGTGAAAGTGCATCATGGTTCCCCCCCATGTGAGTCTATTTATGCGGCCACTAGATTCTTGGCAAGAAATGTGTCACGGTCATGGCGGGTGACACTCGGTTTCCTCTTTTTGTTTTGCCGTTCTTACTCAGTCCCATGAACATCCTCGGGTAGGCAATGGACTCGTAGGCGTTGTAGTTGTTGGCGAGGAGCTTCTCTCTGAACTTACACTCGTTGTTGTAGTGTAACTGAAGGAGAAAAGACGCACACATGAGGATTATTGGAAAATGCTAATTGTTTGAAGTCAGAGGCAAAACAAAGTTGCATTCTTGTTGAAGTTTGTTTTGTTCCATGTGATTACTATCAAACAATTGCTTTATTTCTGACTACAAAGCTAAAGTACAATAGCTGCTATAGTCCTGGGTTTCCACAAAAAACGTGATTGTCAAATGATGAATGATGGGAGTGAGGCGGGCCGGACTGATTGTGAGGGGAATATAGCTGTGAGCTGGAATCATAAGGCTCTTTGAGATGAAATATAGGTATGAACTCGTCTCAGATTGTTCCTTTGTTGGTGTATAGTGTTGTATTCTTCCATTTAGGCCTAAGAAATGCTAAACTTGGCTAGAAACATCTGCAGCACGTCACAGTGGACTTTAGCATCACGTGCTGATACTCTGTTATGGCACTATCATCAGCTCCAGTGCCCACCCGTGATCCGATCCCCGGCACATACATAATGACCAACATTGTCTGTGTTTGTATATACATGAAACACATTTGAATGAAAACCATATCTCTATTTGATAGGTATGTGTGTGTACATTTCAGTTGTGACTGTAAGATAGATCATACATTATGACAGAAACGACAGATGATTAATAAAGAAGCGCAGCCTACAGTCTTTGTGAGTCTGCACCCTATCTGTTAAACGGCCGATTATGTTTGATTTGTGGGTGCATTTGATCAACCTTAAAATATAAAGTTATTATGTAGAGCTCTAGAGAGCCTAGAATAAGAGCAGGCAGTGGGGTGAAGGTCAGACCTGGGCACGGGAACATAGACATGACACATCACTGACAGTATGATAATAACATCTCTGTGATTTCTGTAACATGAGAAATACTTTCAAAATACTAATGATTGAAAATACAGAAGCTTCACAGAGCTACCTGAAGCACATTGTGGACAAAGCCAGAGTTGATCTTATTTCTATCTTCGGCCAACGCAGAGGACATCAGTTGAGTGTGCTTCAATGTGGCCCAGACATGTTAGCAGGCATCCGCTCTCAATGTGTGCATTCACAGGTTCAATTAGGATCACTAAAACCACACAATGCTGTCTGAACTGGGCCAGCTCGGGTACACATTACTCCACTACATCCTTTTAGAGCAAATAGTCAACTGCATTTCATTAAAGTTTACATCATTATTAAATTAAAAATGTTGATCAAGTGCCAGTAAAAGACTTTGTGATTTATTCTTCTCTTCATTCTAAACAGACCTCATATTAGCATGCCAAGTTTTCTCCATTGATAGCGAACAGTTGCCCCTGGCAGTCACTGGTGCACATATTCAGAAACATCTACAACTAGTCTCTTGGGTGCAACTTGTTTTAATTTGAATGAATTGCTTAGTTGAATTGCTTGAATTAGTTTAGTGCTGTGCTAATCTCACAATGTACACTTGAGCCTTAACAAGGCTAAATATAAGAAGGGTTGGTGGACGTGCTCCTGAACTAGGTTTAAGGAATATTCTGTCAGCCACTGACAGCTAATAGGGACCGACCCAAGGCCATGTCCTCTGCATTATTCTGGGTACATTTCTGAATTAGTATTTGATATGCAGATTCCAGTATATGTTAAGACTGATTGAGAGCAAACACATCAATAAAGGTGGGAACACTCACAGATCCGTACAGCTTCCCCCGCCAGTTCATGGCCACAAAGAATCTGCTGCGGACCCCCAGCAGGGTCACCACCCCTCGCTCCACCGGGGAGATCTGCAGGACACCTTCAGGGGAAACAAAGACACACACTGAAACACATACACTAGAACATGGAACACACAGAGACGTGTTTGTGTTTATTATCTGAGATTGAATCTGTAAATGGAGATGAACTGTGACATCTTTCAACATGTTACAGTGAGTTGGTTTTGGGAAGGTGTGACATTGTGCAAGCCTCATCTCTTTGTAGATTCATACACCAATTCAGAGCGGTAACCAGTGGCGGTTCTAGCTGATATGGCGCCCTGGGCGGTGCACCTTTCGTCGGCGCCCCCCCTGGCATGAATATAAAAAACTATAGGTTATATGAATAAATAAAAAGACGCATCCAATTCAGAATTAAATAACTATATTGCACACATTTCTCCAACACACAAATAGAACAATGTGTGTAATCAAAATAACTACACAAAATTAAATAACAATATCACAAAATAAACATGAATATAAAAAGTAGTAGGAAACATACATTAATAAAGAAAAAGACATATAAGCTATAGAATGAAAAGACTAAATTGCACAAATCTTTCAACACACAAACCGAACAGAACACACATTAAATAACATATTTACAGAATTAGGCATCTCTAAATTCAACTCCCAAAGATCTGACCTTCCTTGCCTTCTTTGATGCAGTTAAATAAAGCTTTCATTTCAGTATGCACAATGTAGGCCTATTACTTTTTCAGAATAGGAACTGTTAGAACAATAACACAACTTTCCACACTAATTCTTTCTTGGCATAACATATCTCACAAAAGATGGGCTACAAAATATCAGTACTGTATATTATAGAAGTCTTTTAATTAAGCCTCCAGTATTGAAAATAACACAAAGGACTTGTCAGTACAATTACTTTTGAGGTGTTTGCTAAATGAAGGCAGTGGCGTTTTCTCCCGGAGGCCAAGGGAAGCCAGGCTTCCCTTGTTTTTTTGGATTGTAGTTATAATTTAAATAAATAAATAAAAACACTTTGTTTTGTTTCGATAATTCTCCTTTGCTGTATGTTGCTGCCGGCCCGTCGCTCCCCCATTCTCATTGAGTATTTTACAAAGAGTGAAACAAACAGCGCCCCTCTAGATGTTATGGTGAAACAGTAGATTGCACTCACTGTTGCGAGAGGAGGCCAGCCGAATCTAGTTTCCCTTGGTGAAAAAAAATGGAGGGGTTGACCAATCAGATGAGGCCCACGTGATGCCCCTGCCAACCTGTGATTGGACAGGGCCATGCCAAGGGAAGCCAGCCGCCTCTTGCTTCCCTTCAGAGGCGGCTGGCGGCTGGCGATTTGATTGGACACTGCCATCCAATCAAATCACATCAACATCAGTTTTAATACTGTAACTGTCATTACCGCCGTTAGAAATTATCAAGCAAATGAAGCATTATGGAGGGTGGAGATTTGGCGTACTTAATCAAACATAACTTTACTAAACTTCCGCTACAGCAGCAACTGAAAATTAAATCAGATGACAGGCCAATGCCCGCACTCGAGCTGTGTGTACACAGAGGTAAAAGGGAGAGAATCGGACGTTCAATGAGGACAATTATGTCCGCACGGAGTGGCTAACTGGAAGCGCTAAACTTCAGCGTCTATTTTGCTGGCCATGTCTTCTTTTTGACAAGGATTCGTGCTCCCTGAACAATCCTTGGGCAACTTCAGGATTCATCGACCTTGCCAACCTGTCACGGGCAATTGAGAGGCACGGTAAATCCAAAAATCACATAGATTGTGTTATTGTCTGCATACATTAATAAGTAAAATGCTTAAATTAATAAGGAGAGTTTCAGCTGGAGAGTGCGTGCGGACCTTTCGGTTAGATAACAGGCGAGTGCAAGTCCTGCATCTGTGTGATACAAATCTGTGTAAAATGATACCGGGTGCTGTAATCACTCATCTGGTTACGTTATTGACCACCCCCCCGACCCAAAAAATGGGCTTCCCCTACATTTTTCCCCACGCCACGCTACTGAATGAAGGTGACTAAATCAATAACGGTTATAGTGGTTGTTTATAACGTTTTTATTGCAGGGCTACACATTATCGTTCTGAAGTAAGACGGTTTGAAATGATTCCAATGTTAGTTGCTGAACTGACGACGAAACACAGGCAGCTAACAAGCAGCAATGGAGTTAAGGTTACCGGCATCATTTAATGACGTGCTTAATATAAATGAGATGTTACAGGTGCATATACCTTTATCTTTTGAGCGTTTAATTTCTTCTTCTTTCCTTTTCTTTCTAAACTGGGCCCCTGATGCCTTGTGCCTTTTTTTCTCCATCACCGTAGGTATTCATTTTCGACCTGAGAATCAATGCATAGCGTACCCCTCCCCCAACACTGTCAACTACATGTCAAGACTGTACCAATTTGCCGAAGTCAGTTTTTAAATAATTCTTTATTGTTTCATACAACCCAGTATACAGTACTACTTTCTAAACATCGAAAGTGTTTATTTGATAGAGATAGTTTACCCGCCGCCCGCCTCTGTGTCCCCCATAGTGAGGCGACCAGAGATTACCCCCGCCCTTCTTTGAGTGTGACGCACCGTACATACGGTTCCGTTGCGTGCTTCAACGGAGACACTTCCCATTCACTTTGAATGGGGTGACGTCACGCTTTGCCGAACTGAATTGTGGTTCCGTTGCTTCGCTTTGCTCGCGGTGAAAGTTGAGAAAAGTTCAACTTTTCAACCGTCGACGGAAGTGCCAGCCATATGCCAGTACAAGCGCTAGCCAATCAAACCGCGTGCTTGTGTGTCCGGGGCGGGAGATTAATGTGAGGAAAATATTTGTTGTGGCCAAACGGCGGTACTACAATTTCCGTATCAGTCCGTGACTTCACAATAGTTTTTCCCATTGACTAACATTGGGAAAGAGACGTCTGTAAATCAGCGGATATTTTGTAACTAAATAAACTACCCAGTATGAACATTATAGTCCTTATTAGATTAATAAGGTCCTTAAAGTTGTAAAATGCACTAAAAGCCGAATCCAGATTTATTTTCTCTCTCCATTCATTCTACTGAGCCGAGAGCGGGAGCTCGGGGGCGGGGCTTAAGGGGGAGCTCAACTGCGCATGCTCCATGAGCGCACATACGGGTACTTCTGCTCTGACAGCCAGGCATGACAGCTAATCTGTGACGTATTGCTCTCGAAAATCTCAGGCCATTTTATCCTCATGCGCCAATGAGCAGCTCTCATAGGAAAGAACGAGACCCGCCTCCGACGCTGTATCTAGTTCATATTATACATCCATGGCTTCAATGCGACGGAACCATGTGTACGATTTTTTTCATTGCGCTTGTGCCGCCCCCAGTCAAAATGCCGCCCTGGGCAACCGCCCATATCAATATCCGCCACTGGTGGTAACCTATTTTATTCAAACTCCTACTCAACTTATTTTATTTTGCCTTTTATATGCACTGTCCAATTGCTGTAACAATGTCAATTTCCCTACTGTGCCTCAGAAAAAAACATTTTTATTTTGATTCTGAAATAACTTAATTCCCAACCTGGGCTCAAATCATTGGTCACAAAAGTCCAATATTTACTCTGAGGTTTGATGGCTTAGAATTGACTAAATATCAGTCATCATTATTGTATTGTTTTGTAAGTCAAGTGGCATTAATTGAGATATTTGAAGGTTTACTGATGGAGTTTCTCACTTAGCCTAGCCATGTGGGTTACAGTGTGTGTGTGTGTGTGTGTGTTTGTCCTTTGTTCCTGCTATCATTTTAAAATGCTTTACAGTGGCTTGAATTCCTCGCAGAGATCTCCTGTAATGTATCTCCCTGAATTGTTTTTCCTTGTCTGGAAATAGTACAGAGGCAGGAGAAAACCCCCAGCATGCTATGAGTTCTCAGAGGCATTCTGTCAATTCCTCAGCTCACATTTGACAAAAGGCCCACACTTAACAAACACAGCCTGACAGGGATTAGATGTGACCTGATAGGTAAATCAACATGTGTTATTCTTTGTGTCTGAGGGAGGGGGCTGCTGGGGTCCGTCTATCCCCACACAGGGTCTCTGCTGCTCCTAACTTTAGGGGCTGGCTGGGCTGCATCACAGAAAGCTCTGGTTACCACGGGCGGAAAGCACCGGCACTAAAGGGTGCTCAGCGGCACTAGGGCAGGACTCCAGATGTGGTATCAATAAGTGTAAAGGCTATAAGTTGGTTTGAAACAACACAAAGTAAAAGTCCTGCATTCACAATTGTACTTTAGTAAAAGAAGAAAAGTATTGGCATCAAAAAATACTTTAAAAAGTAGCCTAATCCAAATGTCTATTTTACATTTGACAATTTTTGGCATAGGCGACATAGGTGGTCGCCTAGGGCACCAGATCTGGGGGGCGCTGCGCTGGTAGTTCTGGGAGGGACAAAAACATTTTTGACTGTTGTAACAACATTCATAATTAAGTCAAGGTAACACCCTTTTCACCCCAGTTACACTTTTCATTTGCCCTGTACGATGGGCGCTGTAAGTGATGAAAGTGGGGGATGTTGGCTTATCAGGTGCCCGCAGCTCACAGCCAAAGTGTGAGTGAGCCTTCGAGCAAGCAAGAGAGAGAGAGAGAGAGGGCGCGCATCAGTACCGCGGATTGTTGTTGGATTGAGGCTGATAACTACAGCTCAGTGAGGTAAAGGACTCTGAGTGTTTAGAGTGCTTTAGTCTAAGTTATCTCAGTGGGTCTCAAACGGGTTGGTCACAATTTATGTAAACAAATATTTCCAAGGCACTCCTTTATAATTATTAGGATAAATAACAACAGGTTTGAAATCATTTAAATGTATACTATAGGACAGTAAACCAAAAATATCGATTAAAACTGGAGAGATTACAAAAAATGCATGAATAAATAAATGTTAACTAGGTAAAATAAGATATATATGAACAACAAAAATAAAATAAGTTACATTTATTTGTTATTGGCCATGGTAGGTTATTGGTTATGTTCACATACTTATTTGATTATTACCCCCTAGATCTAGTCTCTAGTAATTCTGCTCAAAGTGCACCAGATTGAAGCATTTTACTTTAAAATGTTAAAACAAATCTTTCCGGGGGGGCATACCCCCGGACCCCCCTAGAAGATGTGACGTCCACACCCCAATTAAAACATGTTCATACAATACTGAATACATTTGAAACCTTCTTTATTAACCAACATGTCAATACGTTTCAGTTTTTGTAGTTTATTGGTCTTTTGTAGAGATTTTTCATCTATTCTTTATATATTCTATTGTGTATTCCTTGGAGGGGGGGAGGGGGGGGGGGGGCACCACATCATAATCTCGCCTAGGGCACCAAAATGTATAGAACCGGCCCTGGGTGCATGCAGATGTTGGATCAATAGGTGTAAATTGTTCTCTGATTGACAGCATCAGGAGTCAGACGCTGAGGCTCAGACTCATATTGTTAGTCATCGAGTTTATTTCTTATAAGCCTACTATAATAAAATCAATTTCTCAACTGAAACGCTGATTTTCTTGATATTGTTGTTTAAAACCAACATAGGCTACAGCTTTCTGTAAGAAACAGTAAGTTACAATACACGTGTTTTTAATTTAATAATTAATAAATGACACAACTTACTGTGGCGGTTTTCGCTGTGTACACCCGTTATTCTACCGTCCGGTAACACCTGGATATGAAAGCCGATCCCAACGTTGCAATAGAGTCTCCGCAGCCTTTTAATGCCCAGCAGATAGTCTCCGTTCCGGCTGACATCCTCCCGCTTCTCGCCCGGGATCCGCGCCAGGGAGCGGGAGTACAGAGCCTCCCAGCGGTCCGCCGTGCCGTTCAGCCCGGGAACGCAGCCTGCCAGCCCGGTCACCAGGCCCAGCACCAGCACCGTCTGCAGGGCCGCCAGAGAGCCCATCCCGGGGGTGGCTCTGAAAGCAGCCTCCCGGCGTTTGCCTTTCCACTGAAGCGAGAATAGGAAGCGGCGGCGGGTGGAAGTTGCGCTCATTCCCAGACCGACAGGCGCACTGAGTTCAGCGCCGGAGCGACATTGATCTGCATGGACGCTGCGCAGCCATGCCTCTATATTTATACCTGCAGACACATTACATCACAGCTCCACACTTAGAAGAAATCTACAAACTACAATTTGACATCAACAGAGCTGGAGGCTTTATTGAAATCAAATAATAGCTGCCTTATCAGAGAGCAAAGTCAGGAGTTTGTAGAAATACATGAATAAAGGCCTTATTATGATAAAAAAAACTTCTTTGTGCGAGGCTTTCATTATCAGCTGCAGAATATCATTATTTATGTATGGGAGGATGTAAAATAGGAAACGGCCAAGTTAACAGACCGTGGTGTCGAGACAGGAGACAGTTCTATAAATGAACAATAACAGGAAAAAACACAGGTCCAATTCAACCGAATGAAAAAGCGCTAACTTAAGAAGGGAAATCATGTCCCGGGCCCTTATAGAAACAATGGTAAGACTAAATAGAGAGTTTGCAGCATGATAAGTAGGCTGTCATTGTTGGCCCCAACTGTAGCTCTGACGTTACAGGCATCACATGTCAGGTCTGTGAACTGTCATATGTGGAGGAAGTTCTCAAATGATTAAGCAAGTAGCAATACTACAGTAAAATATAATCAAGTACAATTTTGAAAGTAAAAGTAGTAAAGTATTAGCATCAACAAATACTTTAAGTACCAAAAGTCAGGTTACACATTATGCAAAACAGCCATTTTAAGCACTGTATTTCTAAAAATGTATTTTATAAGATGAATGGAGTATTCATTTATCACTTTATGTTGATCATGGTAAAGGTGGGGTTCATTTGAACTACTTTAGTTCAAGTAGATTAAGCTATATTAATATATTATAATGTGTGTCAAATCATTTGTTGTGTTAATTACTTAAATGCAGTGGAGTAAAAAGCACAACATTTGCCCAGAAAATGTGGTGGAATAAAAGTATAAAGTAGTTTAATGCGAGAATACTCAAGTAAAGTACCTAATTTCATACTTAAGTATGTACTTGAGTTTGTGTATGTATTGCGTTGCATGTGTCATTTCAGTAATGAGAGCCTGCCTTTCCGTCGTAAATTCAGAACTGTTAAATGAAATGATGATGCCCAACACAGGGACAGTCAGTGTTCATTTGCAATCTCCACCTTTGGACTTGTGTAGGCATAGAATGAGTAATAGTATCAGTTAAAGTCAAATGCTTTTCTGAAATAATAGATTTGTGTTTGAATGATTTGTTTGGATTATATGAACCAACTGGTGTCATGGCAGCCTGTCTTTGATGTGTCTTCCTTGACTGTCATTCAGATGCACTGGTGTGTTGCTTTTGATGTCTTTTGAAATAAACCAAAGTAAATGGCCTGCCCTCCCTTTATTTCACTATTTTATCACTGCTATTATTCCTGCTATATATACGTTGAGCACTACAATCTACCCTCTCTGTTGAGTGTCCTATTATGTGTGTGGATGTTGGAGCGCTGAAGGTCTTCCCCTCTGTCAGCCGGGTCCTTTGATCTCTGGGGTGGCTCGGTCCTGCTCCTCATTGACCACGCATGAAACGTTTTCTCACGTTCACATTCGGCTGATCCTCAATGTACAACAACATTGTTTCTTTGTGTGCTGCAAAGTGGCTCCATGAATGCAGTCAGATCTTAGAGACAATCCTGTGGTGTTGAGGCGCCTGGTTGATTTCTACCAAGCCTCAAACATGGCTGACTTACCAGCCAATCAACAGGACCCGTCGGGCTGTCCGATGGGCCTGAGGAGGCATCGTCCAAAATAATGCCAGTAGTTTATAAAAAATTCTGGAATGACTGAAAGGGCCAGAGTAACGGCCATCATTAAAAACCCATCAAGCTGGAGGCCGACTCTGCTGGACATCTAGGTCAACTGATGAACTCCTAAAACTCCAAAACAATCTTATTGACCTCTAGATCTCCAGGAGAACTTATTGACCTCTGGATCTCCAGGAGAACTTATTGACCTCTGGATCTCCAGGAGAACTTATTGACCTCTGGATCTCCAGGAGAACTTATTGACCTCTGGATCTCCAGGAGAACTTAAGAACCGCTGGACATCAGACATTTTAGAAACAGGTTCTCAAAGAAATGAATAACATTATTGGTAAAACAATAAACATCTCTCCATCATACCTCAACATGTATTCAAACTCATCAAAATCCTCCTCTCTGCTAGATGGTGCATTTTATTAAAGTGGGTGTCGGAGGAATCCCCAAAGGTCACACAGTGGATAAATAGTGTGTTAGAGTTCATGCCTTTTGATAAAGAACCACTAATCATGGGCTGATGGACTGCTGATGGATGTCTTAGGTCCAGCTCAGCGTGAGGACACATGCAAGAAACAGCATGGCTGACATACCATCAAACCTTCAGAGAAACTGAGGGGTTGTCAGACCGCTTTAGCAAAACACTTGAATGGATGAGGGCCTTCAGGAAAACAGGGTGATCAACAGTAGTGCATCTTGATCTCTGCAGCAGAGTATCACTGCACTGTGTGGGAGGCTCGTGAGCTCTGGACTTAGAGAAGGACCTCCAGGATGGCTGAGGGAACACTGGAGCAGGCCTCTTCAGAGTGTTCCTGGAAATGAAGACGTTTGTTTTCAAAGTGCACCAGGAAGTCCTGTGCTGTCACTGTCCATGGTTCTGTAACCTCCTACTATTACTTTAAAACTAAATTAGTTTGAGATGTTTCTACTAAGCAACTCACATTGGCCAGTTATGTGCTGCTTTATTTTTTGTTAATGTTGTACTGAAGTCATTGTGGTTTTAGGTTTCATGTAGGCAATGAATTATGCTGAGGGAAAGAGGTTTTAGATTTCACTGGGTGACAGCTGCAATTCAGATCTTAAAATGTCTCAACATTCACCACGAGCATCCGTTCACTCACTTGTTTATTGAACACTTTCAAAGCCAGGCACGACATCTTCTTATTGATTGTAAATGCAGGATCATCATACTTCTTTTTGAATGTACTTGTAATCAGCAGTAAGTGATTTTAACTATGGGAGTCTGTATTGAGGAAGAGAACCGTATTCCTTGTTTTGGTTTGACCCAAGCATTTTTTAAACTTTCAAAATAACATTGATCGTTAAAAGAAAAACACTTTTTCCAACATTGGAATTATGGGGCACATAATAGATGCCTAAAGTGAGTTGATCTTCTGAATGTTGTGTGTGTGAAAACTTCATTTAGTCATGATTGAAACAGAATTAAATCCACTTTCTTTCCCTTAATCCATTTTTTGTTCCTTGCATATAAACTGTGTATCAATAATCTACTCCCGCCAACCAAAAGTCAAACCGAGAGTATCAGACAGTTAACATTGAACTGTTCATGTCCCACATGTCGGTAAGGATGTAAATGGCGTGTTACCTGTTAGTGGATGTAAATCAGTGTAAGGTTCATACATATCCAAACAGAGGAGCCGTGGTATTTCCTCTGATGTTGTTGGCACAGTGCGGTTGGATGCTGGCCAGCGAGACAGCTGTCATTGAACTGCTGCCAGACTGGATCCACCAAGTGACTTGTAGCCTACACATGAATGTTGTCTACTCTATGTATTTCTTTGTTCAGAATGGGCAGAGTTCCTATTGCTTAGCTGTTATTGCCTTTACTGCCTTTTGACCAATCAAGTGGTTTTGAATATTCAGATCATCGGGGCATATCAGGCAACATTATGTGTAGCTATGTTCAACTTTAGTTCAAGGATATGGTTTGAAGCGATGTCCTTTAGCTGAGCTTCTGAACATTTTCATTCTGTTGGTGAACAGATTAACATTTGAAGGGTTGTTGAAGCATCACTTTGGTCATACTTTTGTTTTCCCCTTTGTTTGTCCCTATGAAAGAGTCTGAAGTGACTGGGTATTGGATGTGTGTTTGCTGTGTGTGTCCTGCCTGCAGAGGGCATTGAGCTGATGAGAGGAGCACGAGGCACGCTGTCTGCCTCTAGAGGTCCCTGTTCACAAAGTGACCCTCCTGTTCTATGAGCTCTGAAACCATGTGTATGTGTAATCCTAACTATGACTGAATGAACCTCATGTATGTGCTGGTGAGAGTCAAATATAACATCCACTTGTGACATATTTGCAACATCAGCAGGGAACACGATCCTCTCCAGTCCATATACACACGTAACATGACGGTAGCATACGATCCTCCTTCAGTCATTTGTGTTTCAAATGTGTGCAAACAGAGAAAGAAAAGCAACGGTGGGAAGTAGTGGAGTACAAATACTTTGTTACTGTACTTAAGTACATTTTTCCGGTATCAGTACTTTACTCCACTACTTATTTTTCTGATGACTCTTTACTTTGACTTCTTACATTTTGAACACAAATACCTGTACTTTCTACTTCTCACATGTTGAACACAAATACCTGTACTTTCTACTTCTCACATGTTGAACCCAAATACCTGTACTTTCTACTTCTTACATGTTGAACACAAATACCTGTACTTTCTACTTCTTACATGTTGAACTCAAATACCTGTACTTTCTACTTCTTACATGTTGAAAACAAATACCTGTACTTTCTACTTCTTACATGTTGAACTCAAATACCTGTACTTTCTACTTCTTACATGTTGAACTCAAATACCTGTACTTTCTACTTCTTACATGTTGAACCCAAATACCTGTACTTTCTACTTCTTACATGTTGAACACAAATACCTGTACTTTCTACTTCTTACATGTTGAACTCAAATACCTGTACTTTCTACTTCTTACATGTTGAACACAAATACCTGTACTTTCTACTTCTTACATGTTGAACACAAATACCTGTACTTTCTACTTCTCACATGTTGAACTCAAATACCTGTACTTTCTACTTCTTACATGTTGAACTCAAATACCTGTACTTTCTACTTCTTACATGTTGAACAGGGGCGGTGGGTGCTGTAGGCTAGGGAAGGCTAAGCCTTCCCAAATATTTGTGTAACTGCATCCTGGTAAAATAA